TGTATAAAACACCTTTTTAGGATGAGGGTACAAGTGGTGAACAAGTAAGCTCTAAGAGAAAACCTGGTAACAATTTAGAGAGCTGGTGTGTCCCCTCAATGACAGATTGGAGACAGGAGAGAAGTAGAGAGGAGTTCTTGTTGGATCTCTCCAGGTGGGTTGAAAGACTTTGAAGAAAGGATTGTAGAGGCAGGTTTTTACTCTGAAGATCAGTATAATTTCCGTGGGTTCTCGCACAACCTTAAGACTTAGCAGTGTAAAGAACAACCCAGGTTGGGCTTGTTTTCCACATGAGAATAAAATTCTTGATGTGGAAGTTCAGGTCTTGGGAAAGGATGCCCGCACCTGTCTCTTACTTGGGCAAGAACAGTGTAAGGAAATGGGAAGTCTCCCTGTGCACTTAGTGGGCAGATGGCAAGGCTGACTTCTGAGTTAGGAAAATTCATACACCCAGGTACCCCCTGCTGTCACTTACTGTCACTCTGCAGGCCCAGGTCTTCCTTCAGGGTGGAGATCAGGGGGAACTTGCCCTGGTCGCAGAAAGTGCCAGTGAAATCATCTAGGTCAATGGCCCAGACCATGGCACCTCCAAATTTGTTCTGCTTAAGCCACTGAGCCTGTGTAAGGACAGAGGACAACAGGAGTCCTTGGATTCCCTAGGGTTCCATGCTGGATCACCACATAGCTGAGGGCTGACCTTACCTTGATATTGAAGCTCTTGATGTTGTCATAGCCAATCCAGTCATTGCCCTGATAGGCATAGGGCACGTCTTGAGGGGCATCCCATTCTTGAGTGGCTCCATTTTTCAGAAAGGTACAGATCTTAAATAATTAAACAGATTCAAATATTTAAAATATTTATTCCCATGGGGGAAAATTATACACTTATGCCTTTGATTTTTCTTTGTTTTCTTGTCTCTAATGGGGTTTTCCTCAATTACCTATTTATGGTAAAGAAGCTCAAGTTGTGTTTCAGATATTCATATGTTGTCCCCATTCTGCAAGCTTGATTGGAGCAATCAACAGTAAAATGAGAGATACATTTATTTTGTTCTTTGTGTGCTAGTGTAAATGACGTTAAGTCGATTGCTTGAAGAGATTTATTACTAAGTGGATTAAGTTATTATGTATGCTATTAAAATCGTTTAAGAATTTGGAGTAACACTGCTCAGAGCAAGTAGGTACTAGACAGAAAGAACATTCATGATTTCATTATATTTTAGCTCTAAGGCCTATTACTGTTCAGCACTGTGCACAGAATTCACAGAGAACTGTGTAGACGAAACTACCCACCTCATAGTAGGCCCAGAACCCAGCCTCCCTGGTGTAGGGCCCAGCAGGGCCAGCACCAGAAGTAGGGGCACCAATTCCATTGTCGGAAGGGTTTCTCAGAAGGAAGTTGCGTCCATAAGTTGGGAATCCAACGATGAGCTTTTCAGCTGAGGCCCCATTGTCCCTCCAGTACTTCATGACATAATCCTGAAATGGCACTTGGGTTAGTTACAGGATCCAACCAGCTGAGGACCCAAGGCTTAGTTATGTTAGTTCTCTGTTCTATAAAATTGCATGAGATTAATGACTGAAGGGTTAGTGTTCTTCCCAAAATATTTTGATGAAATGTAGTTGAGATATGATCAATATCATGAGGACTTTGTCTAAGTGACACATTTATGGAATTCACTCTGATTTTGTGCCTGAATCTCCATGTGATTTCCATTCACCTCTGATCTGCAGTTGCATCTGTGCAGAGACTTACCACATTGAGGTAGAAACTGTAGCCAGTTTCAGTGCCGTATTTGTAGAGGGGGTTGTTATGTCCAGTGCGGCCATCCCAGGGGCCATGGAGATTGTAGGTTATGACATGGATGTAGTCCAGGTACCTGAGGTGGGGTAAATGACTTAAAACACTCTCCAGTAGTCATTTCCCATACCGGTGCAGACAGAAGACACCTCTCCAAAGCCTCCTAAACAAAGTCCCTCGACAACAACACAGACCAAGAACAACGGTACTCTGCCTCAAGGACAGCTATAGGAGTTTGAGATAGGTACATCACTCACTGAGAGATATTTGATATCTCATAGCCAGATTCAATGGTGGATATGCCATCTGCAACTGCAGCAGTGATCAACAGCCTGGACTTATTGTTCTTCTTGGCCTCTTCCTCAAAAGCTTCACGAATTTCCTACAGAATAATAAGATACATTAGGTCACATATGAGCTGATTTCCACTCCTTAACTGTCAATCAAAGTATATTTACATACATTTTTCTTTTTCTAACTGTTTCACATATTTTGTCTTAATTTATTCTATCAACATTCCTGATCAAGTTTGATAGGTTAGATGGTATTAATCAACTTTATAGACATCTAATATCCATAGCATTAGACAATTTTTTCAAGTACCACAGCAAGTTAGTAGCCAGTTCAAGACCACAAGCCAGGTTTTAGGTGACTAGTTGGAGCTTCAGGTGAGAAGATACAGTTGTTGTATTAACCTGTCTCCTGTTTTTAGCAGTATAGAAATTGGCTTCCATTTGTTCTATGGGTGAACTACCTATAAGACTGACACCCCGTCAAATGAAATGCTGAATTGGCCAATCAGAAAGGTGGTAACTGCCACATGAGAGACCCCCATTCAGTTCTAGAGACTTTTCACCTCTATTTTGTGTGACTCTAATCTAATTTGCAGTACTGAGCTCAGCTCTAATAATTGCATTATGTGGGTGTGCCAGAGTGTATTCCAGAGGAGTTTCTCTGAAAATTGCTATTGGTTGAAGGAACCAGGACAGTTAACTGGAAGAAAAAAAAATTGTAGGCAGGATTTTATTGCTGTCTTGAAGTTTTGAACCCATGTATGGCAAATCGTGATGTTTTGTTCTTTGTTGTTTCAGTGGGCAGACCACTGAACTGAAAACCTGATGACTGAACATTATACTATATGACTCGAGGCATGTTCCAGCTAAGAAGAAAGATGCTAGCTCTGATCATCAGACCTGTGTAATGAATAAGTAAACTGACTTTAGGTAGTGAGCTATGTAACACTGAAACTCTTCACAATATGGCTGACAATCTGATATATGGAGTAAAAACGTCGTTTGGGAGAGATTAAATCTCCAAAGCATGCTTAGTCCCCGACTTTCATCATTCCAGTCATTTTCTTGGTGATCATCTACCCTTGCTGATGGCTTTGGCACACTCTATCACATCTTTGCCCTGCACTCCAGATAGGTGTTCTTCCAACACCAGCTGGGCA